GTTGCTGTTCTCTTATTTTCATTTATCACAAGAGAAAAGTAGTGCCTAGTACAAGTACGAACTCAAGATTGTTTGAAGATTGCAGATGCATGGGTGAATGGAAAGAATTCTTTTCTGTGTCAGCTAGAATGGAGCACTCGTCCATTTCAAAGATGTTGAAGGCTCACTGAGGATGAAAACAGTAGGTAAAGGGACAAATCTACCTTTCCTAGGCCTCAGAGAAAAGCAGACAGATGTGCCCCATGTGGCAGAAGCACCCAGGCACTTCCTAGTATCCAGCCACTTGGGGATGTCCTCGGGCTGTTTTCCTCTCCAGCTTCTCCTGAGGGTCAGCTCTGCTGGCTCTGGCTTTGCTAAGCCTGGCAAGCTCCCATCTACATGCCCCTGTTTCCACCTAGTGCCAGTCTCACTTCCAGTGAGGAAAACATACCTTTCTTTGCCTTGAACACCAGGAGATCAAAGGGACATTTTGAGCCCTGGGACAAGAGGTTCAGTATAATTCTTCTTCCCTTATTTGGCTGGATGAACATTTTATGTACATTAGGAAAGTATTAAAATGGTTTGAGCTTGGGCTGAGGGGTCAGATATCCGGAACCAGCCAGCTTAGGCACCTGTGGGCTCTTGGGAGACTTAGGGTTTCTAGTAAGTTTCCTTATCTGTGAGAGGGGAAACACAGGGCATACTGTGTGGGACACTGTAGACCAGTTTGTCCATTAGTAATACAGTGTGAGCCGCCTATATAATTAAATATTCCCATAATTGTATTTAAAAAAGTAAAATGAAACAAATGAATTTAATTTTAATAATGTATCTTATTTAACCCAGTATATCCAAAGTATTATCATTTCAGCATGCAACCAATAATAAAACAACTATTAGTGGAATATCTTACATTTTTATTCAGGGTAGGTCTTGAGAATCCAGTGCGCATGTAGCACTTGCTAGCACATCTCAGGCTGAACTAGCCACATTTCATATGCTCAGCAGCTTGTGGCTGCAGTATTAGGCAGCGCTGGTTCAGCTCAATCATGTAAAACTCAGTCCCCAGTTCATACTTAGCCTTCAACAAATATTGGCAAAATTGTTATTTATTTTAAAATATCAAAAGCTGGGTGGGACAAACATTGGTACTAGCTTTTTTCATATACAGCCATGTGGGATGATGCCTCAGGTCTGTTTTTATTTGTTTCAGAGGAATAAAGGGTTGACTACAGTGTTCTTGCCTGTTACTGCAAGCTGGCCTCTGGGTCTCAGAATGAGGCTGGTCTGGTGGTTTACAGTCTCTCTTCGTGGGGATGTGGGGAAGGGGACACGCCATGTACCTTGAGTGCTGCATGATGTCTCCTTTTTTTTTTTTGCTCTTCTCTGTTTAATTATTCAAAGCTGGGACGACTTGACTTTAAAATAAAACACATGGGCTGAGAGTAACCGGGAGGATATTTGCTAGTGATGTAGCCCAGAAGGTATGTGTGCGTGGAGGCCCTGGCCCTGTACCACTTGCTTGCTTAGGTATTGAGTGTGTTCCTTGACTTCAAATCCAGTGTTCTTTCTCCAAATTCTTAAAACTTGTTTGGAAAGTCACAGTTTAAACAGGAAACATTGGAGCAAGATTCTAAAGGAAATTGTGAGTCTTCTTTAAATTCTGTTTTTTTTCTGTCTCCTGTTAGTGGAGAACCATTGGTTTCCAGCATGTTTATATGATCTGTGAGAGAAAAAGAGTTTTCAAAGTCTTCCCAGAAGGGAGGAGAACTCTGTATGAGGAGGAGAAAGTTGAACCGTCATTGACTTTACCTGCTCTGCTTCACGCCACTGCTGACACCAGCGTGGGGAATTGCTGTTCTGCAACAGTTCTTTCGTGGGGGAGAGATTTCCATCTTTTTACCTCTTCAACACTTGCTGCAAGAGCTATGCTGTCCCTGTCATATTGCATATAATTCTAACCTAATGCCTCAACTTTCTGTCCCATGAGGGAGAACGGGACTTTATCAGGACTGGTAAGGACACGTGCTGTGATGGTGGACTACCCCAGGTTCAAACCTCTGCTCCTTCACTCAGAAGCTGGATGCCTCTGAGCAAATTAAGCTGTGTAAGCCTCATTTTTTCTTTCTTAAAATGTGGTTAAGATAATGGTGCCTATTTCAGATTTAAATTTTTGTGATGCTTGAGAGAGGCACTGCATACAGATCACTAGGCACAGCGCCTAGCGGGTGACAATGAGAAATGAGCATTGGCGATTGGGCAGGGCCTTCCTTGGCTGCCAGGGCTGCTGCTGCAACATCCCCCCACTGCTGTGGGGACACTGGGGCTAAACACTGCCTTGGGAAGATGAGCGAGCATCTGTCCATGAGAGGCATTAGCATTAGAAATCAGGTGTTTCTCTGGGATGAGTTTGATGTCAATATGTGCGAAGTCAAGTGCTCTGATTTCTCTGTCGGAGGGAATCCTGTGTACACACTTGTCATTTGTTACCCTATTGTGCCCAGGACCTATGAACAGGGAAGTAACATGCTGAATTACTTTTATTTTTTAGCAACAGAATCACAAGGGACCTGTGAGTTGTTTGGGGGATTGGCTCATTTGTTGGTTTGACTGGGAAACAAGAGAAATAGACCTCTGACCTGGGTGGTAGAGTTGCTGACCACCATTTTCTGCCGCGATCTTGAAGACAAGATATCTTTCTAAACATTTTTCAAACCTGTAAGGGGAAAAGTAGGGAGAAAGGGGTCTTCGGTGTTTGCCAAATCAATCACTTACTGACACTTTTCTGTGTCGGGGCTCTGAATGCTCTGTGTTCGATATTACTAGCGTCAGATAACTGTGGGAGATTTGGGAAGTTCTGCTTTTCAAAACATCACCCCATTTTCAGGGCAGTCAATCATCTGTGTTTTCTTAGTCCCTCTTTTCCCTCTACTCCTGCTGTTTTCCCAGCCCCTTTGGGATTTGTTAGCTGATGCCTATAAAGCATGCACAACTCCCCCTGCAAACAGCAGAAAACCTCACCAGGTGGACAGGTCTCAGATTTCCCTGAAACTGAGAGATAAACCACCTCATTCCACTTTCCCTGCACACTCCTCTCACCGGGCAGCTTTCCTGACATTTCACTTAATCAAGATGTTAGTAAAATAAACAGTGTGCACTGCTGCCATCAGACTGAAACTGCTCATCAACCTGCCCACTCTCTTTTCAGTGTTTGGAAAGGAAATTCAGGGTTACTATTGGTAATAAAGATGAGGAATAAGATGTGTCTTTCCTCATGGCCAGTTAAACCCAGGCCTGATCACTGAGCTCTTCACAGGCAGACAGCCTGCACAACAGTCATCAGACCTGTGACACCCTGATATAAGACACATGTGCAATCAAGGACAGAAAATGTTATGAGATAATCCCAATTTCAGAGATGTTAAAATGTGGGAAGAAAATGTGTATGTGTGAGCAGATGGAATACAGTGAAAGCTAACTGAGAAGGGGCGTCCGTACCCCTGATCCCCAGCTGCTCCCCCGAACTCAGTGCAGCCATTGGGAACACTGTGAGATACGAAGTTCATTATGAGAGGCACCTTTGTGCTGGGTTCTTCTTTAACTCATCTCATGTTATTTGTGTGCCCCGTGAGGCTCTGGCACTCCCTGAGTTGAGAGCAAGCCAAGTTGTGGAAGCCTGTTCAACTCCTAGATAAGTGTTTAGGTTTTTCTGAAAAAAGAAGCATCCAGGAACTTCCTTTGGGTCACTTTGGACTTGGCAAGATTCAGGTTTTGGAAGGAGTGACAAAGAGCTTGTTGACATACCAGGGCTTCCTTCCGTGGGCCCTCCCCGACCAGGCCTGTTTCTCAGTTCATTCCCCTGATTGCCCGTTTTCTAGTGAACTCTGGGCTTGGGCTTATGGGGCACACACTGTTTCCTCTCCTGTCCTAAAGGCAGCATTAAATACTATTGATGTCACTGATTTTACTCAAGCTCCTACCTTACTGTTGGTCTTCATAATTTGAGTATACAGCATGATGATTTGATAGACACTGTGAAGGGGTTCCCCACCCTCAAGTTATCAACACATCTATCACCTCACATAACTACCTTTTTTTGGTGGGGACATTTCAATTCTCTCTCAAGCAAATTTCACAGCATTACCAACTATAGTCACTGTGTTAAACAGCTGACCCTTGGACAATATGGGGGTTAAGGGACCCTGATCCCCCCACACGCAGTCAAAAAATCTGTGTATAACTTTTGACTCCCCACAAACTTACTAATAGCCTACTGTTGATCGTAAGCCATACTGATAATCTGAACAGTTGATTAGAACATATTTTTTTATGTTACATGTGTTGTAGACTGTAGTCTTACAATAAAGTAAGCTAGAAAAAAGAAAATGTCTTTTCCAGATTTTTACAGATCTCCAAAAATTTTTCCCATATATTTGTTCACATGTAAGTGGACCCACTCAGTTCAAACTTGTGATGTTCAAGGGCCGACGGTCATTAGATCTTCAGGCCTCAGTCATCTTATGGTTGAAAGTTTATACTCTTTTAAAACCACCCTCTCCCTATTTGCTCCACCCTCCCAACCCCGACAACCACTTTTCTACTCCCTGTTTGTTTGAGTTCTACTTACTTGGTTATTAAGGTTGACATGTAAGTGGTGTGATATGTGTGGTGTTTATCTTCTCTGTCTGGCTTATTTCCCTTAGCATCATCCCTTCAGGTTCATCTGTGTTGCAAATGACAGGATTTCCTTCTTTTCTAAGATTGAATAATATTCTACAGTGTTGTGTGTGTATATATATATATACCATGCTTTCTTTACCCGACCTTGTAATAATTTTAATCCAGGTTATTGTAGCATTTCTTTTCCTGGTAGAGATTGTTACTCAGATTTTAGAGAAAAGTATTTTTATCAGCCAGGTAAAAGTGACAAAAGAATTGATTGAAAACTTTTCTTTTTGTATTTGTGTCAGCAGAAATGAGGTGTTTACCCTTAAACTTACACTGCTTTTCCTTTCTTTCAGTTTTTGGGAATCGCATTTCTTGGAATTGGACTGTGGGCGTGGAATGAAAAAGTGAGTTGAATCTCATGAAAATGCACACAATTTCATTGTTAGAGCCTGCATGTTGTATGTTGTTTCCTTTTATAACTGTAGAGTACAAAGAAACGTGGTTCTTAAACAAAAGAAAGCATTTCTTAGAACATAGTCATGTTTCAAAAACTCTTTAGGCGTGGGGCCTAAATTGGTCACTATATCAAAATAATTACAAAAGTAACAATACATGTGCTCAACAGAGAATGGGTATTGGAATTTTATCAGTTAGCCAGAGATACATGTTCCCATGGAACATTGCCTCACTCTGGCCTAAGAATTCAATAATGCTTATAAATATCACTGTACTACTACTTGTAGCCTTTTTTCTCTTTTATTTATTGTTAACCCTTTGGAAGCTTACTCAAACCATAAAGATGATTTTTTTAGTGTGAATGTTACTTGATAAGCTGTTAGCATGTTTCTTGAAGGAAGCTGGGTATGGTTCATGTCTGAATAACAGATAAACTTAACGTTAATACTGAAGAATGTGAGTACTTGTGCTGATTCCAAGTATTTAGGAATATTCAAAATTTATGATGAAATACAGTGTAGTGAAAGGAAAAAATCTAGAACTGTGAAGTAGCACACTGTAGGTCACAGTGACCCTGAGTGTTCTGGGTGGCTGCTCTCTAGGCCACATGCTCACACCCCACCACCCTGTGCCCACTGCCCCACTTTCCTTCCCATCCACACCTTTTAATTTTTTCTCTATAACATCCCTACTGAGGTCAAGCCCTGGAATTTAAAAATGAATACATACTCCTTTTTTCTTCCTTCTTTGGTAATGAAATTGTTGGCAGCATTTTATCTATCCTGGTATTTGGCTCCATAGTAAAGGTTTGTTATCTCCCACCTTGTAAGAGTGAGGGGAGAGTGTATGGATTGGGTCGAATTTGGAAACTAAGAAGTTAGCTTAAATTTTCCCAGAAGACCATTCTCTTATCTCTTTGGTATTTCATCCTTTGAGTTTGGTCACAGCCTGAAGTCAGGCATTTCTTTGAAGTGTGATTATATATTAAGAAAAGCAAGAAAAATTAAGAGAGTCCAGCAAACAAAAGCCCCTCAGATGCCAGTGGGAATTTCCACAGCTAAAATGATGTTCAGATAGATTGCATTAAGTAAAACTAAACCCTAAATTTTGAAATTGAATCACCCCCCGTTTATTTACAAAATACGTCAACAGAATGTAGACTGTGTTATGGAAAATGAACCAACTTCCAGCAACATTACGAGGTAGGGTGTGATTATATATGAAGGGAGACAAATTAAGTTCTCAAAACAGAGATGATTTTATCTCAAGAAACTTTCTGTGGAATACTGGTCTTCTTTTGGATTATGATTAGTTTCTGCCTCAATCCCCTTATAAGTTTAGAGATTCGTATTGGTGGAATCTCACAAATTCCACATTTAGAAGCCCACTGGTTGGTTCAGTGCCAGATAACACAGGTTTTTGTAACTGTCCTTTAATCCGAGTGCACTTCTATATGCTTTGCGAACATGCTGGAAGGCATTAAATGAACTAATTGTCTGTTCTAACAATAAGCAGACCATTGGTCATCTTGAAGATACTTTTTCTCTTTGTGAAATATAATTCTCTTTTTGTTTCATCAGTTGCCTCAAATGTCTCTTCTCTGATAAAATCACAAGATTTCTTAAAGTGGGAGTGTCACACAAATATCAGAGCGAGGGAGTGATATGGTCTTTCAGGGTGAAATAGCAAGTTTCGGCTGTCAGGGCCACTCTCAGTAAATGGAGTTTCTCTGGAGAGCTGAAGTAACTCAGCTTCTGGGTAGCCAAATTGTGAGCTGGGGCCATGTGCAGGTAGCAGAGGGAAAAGGACATGCAGCACCTCTATTTGTTGCACATGGCCATGGGTCTGAGCCCTGCATGTGAGACCCAGCGCTCACATTGCCACTGTGGAGCTGACATCTAGCAGGGGCTCTGACAGTAAGCGATTAACTATCAAGATGCATGTGCTTAGGTCCTGGTGAGTGCTGTGGAGAAATATAAGGTGTAGGATAAGAGCTAGAGTGGTGGGAGAAGGGGTCTTTTTTAGGCAGAGTCATTGGGAATGTCCCCCACCTTAGGGAGTGGCATTGGAGCAGAGACCTGTATGAGGAAGAGGGATCTGCAGAGCGCTTGGAGAACAGCATTCCAGGCAGAGGGAATCGAGAGCGTGGTGGCCCTGAGAGCTTGGTGATTCCGAGGAACAGGAAGAAAGTCAGTAGGACTAGAAGGGAGAGAGCAAAGGCAGGAAGAAGAAGGAGATGTGGCAAGAGAGGCAGGCAGAGGCGGAGCAGACAGGGTTCTGTAGGAGTCTCTGGAGGAGAGGAAGTCACCATGGCATTTGGATAAGGGAGTGTCCTGATCTGGCTTTGGCTTTAAGACCACTCTGGTTGCTGAGTGGAAAAAAGTACATAGCTTTGGGGCTGAACAGGCCTGAGTTCAAATACTGGCTCCTCCACATATCATCTGGGTGACTTTGGGTGACTTGTTACCTTCTCTGAGATGCCCTTCCCTCTTCTGTGCACTGGGAACACTGTCACTGCCTAGAACTATAAGGATTGCATGAGACGGCCCCCAAGATAGCACCTGGTGTAGTTAATGTTTCCTGGAGATGTGTCTCCCTCTCCTGGATGCATGACTATACTATGTCCACTTCTGCATGGGGATAAGGACAAAATGGTGGCTTTGGGAGCTGCTTCAAATTTTAGGCGAGTTCTAGGATCTGATCCAGGGGCCAGAGAGTTGGTCTCTGAAGGAGGGTGTGGCGTGCGGTGATCTCCTTGCTAACTGTGAAGGCCATTCTGTTGAAGCACTTTGGATTAACTTCTAAGCAGGCCCACGCCCATGGTGGGTTAATGTTCTAGGGTGAACCACAGCTGGCCAAGGCTGGTGAGCAGCATGTGCCGGCCGGGCCAGTAAGCACAGCCCATGGATCGGGAAACTCCCCCAGGGGAGATGTGTGACATTAACTTGAAAGGAGGCCGAGGGTAGATCCCTGAACTCCGTCACAGCTGGAAGGACCAGATTTCTATTAGAAAGACCAGATTTCCTTATTAGATGGGTTTTACACATTTGTGTATGGAGTACAGAAACCATGGAGGCAAAAATTATTACCCACGAACACTTAATTAAAACTAGGCTGAATTTAAACCTAGGGCTCATATTACAGTTGAATAATGGACATAATAACTAAATAATTCATTTTGTCTAATTTCCAAATCGACTGTGAAGATGCTAAGGATGACTGTGTCTCCGGAAGAAACTGGTTTATGAGCAGTTTTTCAGAAATCATAGATCTGCTGTTTTAGAAGGAACATTAACAATTATGTAGCATGAATCAGCTCTATAACAGGCCTGACAACATCCAGCCATCCTCAACTCATTCATTCAAGTAACAGTTACTGAGCACGTACAATGGGACGGGGCTTGTACTGGACTCCGGGGATGTAATTCCTCAGGTAATTTACAATCCAGGAATGGTGCGCGTATGCATAAAATGTGTACATATATACATAAAATAATACACTGCAATAAATGCTAATTTGGAGTGTATGTAAGTCTAACCATTCGCACAGCAAAGTACTCATACTTCTGTCTCTGTGGGTTACTCTTACTGCTGAAAATACCTTCCTTCTACCCAAGTAGAATCACTGTCCTACTGGTTTTTTACTCCTTGATTGTGGATCTACCCTCCTGGATCCCACAGAGTAAGCCCTTCTACATGTTGGCCCTCGATGTATTCAGGGTGGAGGCCTGGTTCCTTCTGAGTTTCCTGGCTAAACATCTACTTCTCTTTGGGTGAAGCCTTTTCACCATGCTGGTCTTGCTCCCCTGACCTCCCTCTAGTATGTTCTCTGTACCGGTGAGAGGGTGCTTGAGGGGCCATAGAGGGTATGGCTGGATTATATCCCTTCTCCCCTCCCCTGCTGTCAGTGCAGCTTTGAGATCACACTGTTGGTCACTAAGAATCCTAAGGTGGTCTCAGATCCAACTAGGTTTACCCTGTCCACCTCACGTCTGGCAGATTTTCAGAGTCAAAGGCGAGATTCCACATTTACCCAGCTGTTGTCCAATGCACCCACCTTCCACTCAGCTTGGTTTTAGCTGCACATTTCGATCAACCTCCCCCCTCAGTTTCATTTCTTACTCTGACCTTCTTTTAGCTCCTTGCCCCAGCACTGCCTGGGGAAATTCTGATTCGGTAGGTCTAGGGTAGACACTAGGACAGTCTGTATTCGCAAGCCTCCTAGATTGTTCTTGTTGCATTTGAGTTCAGTCATCCCTGATAAAAGTCACTGATATGTTGAACAGGCCAAGGAAAGAGCCTGGTGACATATCAGTAGAAATTGCCTTTGGGGTTGACACTCGCTCACTTAATGTGTACTCTTGGGTGTCATCAGTCAGGCAGCACCTAATCCATCTACTTGTCCTTACATCAGACTGGTTTTCTGCAGCTTGTCTTTGTCGATAGACTATATGCTTTGCTTTATGTCTGATTAACCAGCCCAGGGAATTAATTGAACCTGGTACTTTCTTACTGAACCCATACTGCATTCTGGGGCACATCATTTGCTTATCCAGGTACTCAGAAACCCATATCAGCACAGCAAGGACTAAGGCACAGTTTATCATTCCTCCCTTCTGGAAAGACTTTCCTCACTTGGCTTCCAAAAGATCACCCTCTCCCAGTTTTCTGCCTCACAGGCAATGCCTTGTCACACTCCTTTGCTAATTCCAGCATCCTCCTCTGACCTCTGAATGGTGGGGTGCCTCAGGCTTGGCCCTCACACCTCTTCTCTGTCTTCACTCACACTCTAGGAGGGCTCATCCAGGCTTGAACCTTTGAATGCCATCGGTCACTGAGGACTAGTTTAGACCTTTGTTCCTGAGCTCACCTGAGCTCCAGACCCAGTGGCCTGCCCACCAGTCTCCACTTAGATGCCCCACGGGCTTCCAAAACTTAACAGTCCAAA